ATATTATATGGAGTATATGTGGGTTTTAAATGTTAATATTTACAATATACTGTGAGGATGAAAAGAAACCACAAGTGAAAACATTATAATTTGTAATAATTTTAATACAAAATATTTATTTGCAAATAATATTATTAGTATGATTTAAGTGAAAAGTTGAATTAAAAATCAACATGAATTTCAGTTAATGTTTAATGATATATATATTATATGGAGTATATGTGGGTTTTAAATGTTAATATTTACAATATACTGTGAGGATGAAAAGAAACCACAAGTGAAAACATTATAATTTGTAATAATTTTAATACAAAATATTTATTTGCAAATAATATTATTAGTATGATTTAAGTGAAAAGTTGAATTAAAAATCAACATGAATTTCAGTTAATGTTTAATGTTCATGCTTATGGTCACATTTTTTTTTAAATGTAAATTTAAATATATCTTTGTTTTACATCACCGCTTTTCTTTATTATAACATTTGTGAAAATTAGTTTTCTGTTCATTTCCAGGTTTGAATAAATAAAACAATCTCAAGATTTTGATTGTGGTCCCAGACTTTCGGACCCCACCATACATCCCTACACCTTATAGTTTATATTAATTCACCCTATGATATTTGTAGCCTATTGAAGCGAAAACTCAACAACAAATGTTCCTGTCTGGAAACCATAGACATGAAGAGTTCTTTTAGTCCCACTGTATTGTGAGTGTGTGTGTGAGAGAGAGAAAGAGAGTGTGTGTGTGTGTGTCTCCACGTTTAAATAAACCAGTCCAGCTGTTCCCAGTGATAATTTCTGTTTAATTTGACAGCAGCTCGTTTTCGCCCCTCTCGTTCCCTCGCCTGTTTCCTCTGCGCTGGAGCTGCAGACATACACACCGCACTCTCTGCGCTCTGTTTGTGTTGGGCTTTGAAGAGCACCTAATGTCTTTTCACTCTGGTGATTAAAATGCTAATTAGTTGTCATTTTGATTATGAAGGGCTCTGGAGGTCTAGAGTGTTTACTGTTTACAGTGATGAGCCAAAAGCCAAAGACGAGAGTTCGGCCAATTCAAATGTACTTCATGTAATAGAATCTGCTTTTAATGGTCACAGAAATTATTAGATATGACAGAATAGACCTGACTACACCCACAGTCCAAAATTTCATTTTTCAATATATATATTTTTAAGTCGACTAGTGCTTCTTAACAGGAGGGTCACAAGGAGTGTGTGAATTATTAAAGGAATTTCTGCATGGAAAAAAAATAATACATGCTTAAACTAACCATGTAATCGTGCATGGTTAGGATAGCAAAACAGATATGCTTATCAGCTTAAAAGTTGATAGGGAGGAGAAAACGCTTCCTATATATTGCTGTTGACGGCCAAGGCTGTCAAACGCATATTTATCTGTAAAATCTCGCCAAATAAGACAGATGCAAACATGGACAGGTCACATGTCATGCCTGAAAACACGGACAAAACTACGCAAGCTCCAAAAATATGATCCAGACTGCATTAAGTAAGGGTTCAGTTGCTGCAAGCGTAACCAGTGTAAGTGGCTACCACAATGTGTTTTTGTGTGGTGAATGACTGGCTGCCGAGAGCATGAAGACATAGAAATTCAAGAGACATTTAGACACCAAACACTCCAAGCATGTTGAGTTTCTTTAAATGATATGTCTGTCTGTCCGTCTATCACAGAAATTAATACTTTTATTCAGCAATGATGCATTAAATTGATCAAAAGTGACAGTAAAGACATTTATAATGTTATAAAAGATTTCTATTTGAAATAAATGCTGTTTTCTTACCAGTTGTTGACCTGCAGGATGGTCAGCCCAGTGTCCTGGGACAGCTGCCTCTTCTGTTCCTCAGAGGGGTACGGGTGCTGCGAGGCACATACAAACTTGTTGATATAAAATATAAAAGTTGATATAAAATAGTGTTCTCAACCCGTTTTACTTCTGTAATATAACGTTTATAAGAGAAACAGAAATCTTTGATGAGAAAAAAATAGTGGACCGTGTTCACCTATGGTTTGGCAACGAACAGCCGTGGTATGGCAGGGGAGGCTACGGCATGGCGACTGTCATACTCTGCCTATACGGTAACACCACCCCTGATTAAAATGCATTTTAACAAAAATGTAACTGTAAAAATAATTACGATTTACATAATTAAGATATTTTAAGAAGAATTACATTTTAAAATTTTAATTTAAATTATTTAATTTAAATTATTTAAAATGTATTTAATAAAACTTAATCTCATATTAACATGTAATTTAATATATAAAAATAAATAATTTTAATAATTTATATTATATATTATATAAAAACATTAAGATTTACATAATTAAATGTTTTCATCTTAAAGACATAATTAGATTTTTTAAAGATGAATTACATTTAAAAATGTATTCAAATGTATTTTAATAAAAATTAATTAAATTATATTCACAATTTAATTGATTTTACTTTATTTTTGATAAAAATAAATGCAGCCTTGGTGAGCAGAAGAGACTTCAGTACAGTAGTGTACATAAAATAATAGAAACAACACAAAAATCAATAGGACTTGAAGAATCAGGTTCCAGTTGCCACTGTTCCTCTGTTGAACTGTGTTTAGTGTCTGTACTGTGTTTGCATGAGCAGCCAAACAAATTCCTTGTGTCTCTTGGCAAATAAAGCCCTAGACTCTAAAGGAAACCCCATGCGCTAATCGGAGAGCTGCCAGCTGGGATTTAGACACCAAGCCACAAAGTCATTACAAATTGCTATCCTGTAACCAAGGGTGACGGCTCTAGCAACCACCAAAGCCTTTCTCTAAACCCAGAGGATACGCACACAGTGACAGAGGAGGTGTCAACCTGTAATTAGACAACAACTGATCCCGGGTCAGCCATCTAAAGCTCAACCAGATCTAAAAATAAAGAGGCGTGCGTATTAATCTGATCCTGGAGCAGGAGTTTTACAGCAGCGACTATAAACACCTCACCCATGAATGACTCTCTCTTAACACCTGTTGCACGCCGAGAGCTCTGGTAGCAAATGGTGGGTAACTTTACGAGCGAGTGAGCCATGCTGGCTGGAGGTGTGTGTGTGTGTGTCCTGTGAAACTCAATGAAGAGTTAAAGGTGTGTGTGGGGTCATTATCCTGTTTACAGAGGCAGTAAAACTGTTAGGGCTCTAATGATCGGTAATTCAGGGTGAACGGTACTTAAAACGACTCTAAAACACACCCAGCCTCACCCGCTGCAGCTGTGTGTGTGTGTGAGTGTGTGTGATGGTCTCTGTATTGTACTCAAACACTGCGACTAGACTTTAGACGAAACTCTCCCTAAACTCTACTATACCAGTGGTTCAACTGGTGGGTCACAACCCCAAAATACAAAGTTAGATGAAAATAATAAAATGTAAAAATCTGTCATAGTTAATATAATACTTTTGTAATTTTTGGGGGCATTTACTATATACATATATGCATATTTATAAATAAAGATATTAAACTTTTATATATTTTATGTATAATGTATTTTTTTATTTTTTTATTTAATATTTTATAGTTGTATTCATATATAATTTATTTCCCAAATATGTTAAAATGTTTGCATATTTTGGGGCATATAATATTACCATGAACAGTATATGTTAAATATATAAATATATCATATTATATATTAAGTATATAAAGTGATATACTAATATTTAAACAATGTGTGTGTATAAACACACAAAGTATTACAATTAAGAACTGATACATAAATATATATTTTATTAAAATATAATTCTATATAAATACAAATGTATATCTGAAATCTGAATTAAACATATATGAGAATATATATATATATATATACACATACATACATACACATATGATTATACATGTGTATATATAATACATATTTTGGGGCATATTACATAAAGTATTATAATAAAGAAACTACACCTACATATATATATATATATATATATATTTATTTTATTAATATATCATTCTATATATAAAATAAACAAAACAAATATTTATTTAATATTTTATTAATATATAATTCCATATATAAAATGTATATATTGTTATATTTCTGGGCTAACAGCTGTTCTTGCATGAAGTTTTTTTTTATGTTTGCATGTATTACTTTCAGCCAGGATTATTCTACTCTGTCAATTAAAAGGCTGTTTATATGCATATCAACGCTACCTGTTTTTGAGAAGCATACATGTAAGAGGCTGACAATAAACTGAAAATATACTTGTTTAATTAGTGACACTTATGCTGCATTTTAAAATCTTTATTTGAATGTGACAATTAACATTTTTTTTATTTTTTAAACCTTTATTTAAATACGGCAACATAATATTGCCCCCTTACTCTGAGCTTAAGACTTCGGTCTATTCCTTAGTAAAAGTTTGTCTCAGCAGCTTTGTGAATAGGGTTTAAGAGGAAACTCTTAGCTAAAAACTTTTACTGCTATTTAGGAGAACTCTTAGTGGTAAGAT